TATCATGTCCTCATGAGCCCCAAGCTGTGCGTGCACCTGACGCTGGGCTCCTGGCTCCTGGGAGCCGCTGACGGGTTGATGCAGGCGGGCACCATCCTGAGTTTCCCCTTCTGCCGCTCTCGAACGATCAACCACTTCTTCTGTGAGGCGCCTTCCCTGGTGCGCCTTGCCTGTGCTGACACCAAAGTCTTTGAGTTCTTCATGTACATCTGCTGCATCCTGATGCTCCTGATCCCGCTGTCCCTCATCCTGGCTTCCTACTCGCTCATCATGGTGGCGGTGCTCCGCATGCGATCCTCAGCAGCCCGGAAGAAGGCCTTTACCACCTGCTCTTCACACCTGACTGTGGTGGGGCTGTTCTACGGGGCTATCATGTTCATCTACATGAGGCCCAAGTCCCAGCAGCCAGGGGCGCGCGACAAGGTGGTGTCTGCCTTCTACACCATCTTCACGCCTGTGCTGAACCCCCTCATATACAGTGTGAGGAACAAGGAGGTCAAGAGAGCCTTGAGGAAGTGTCTGCAGAAGAAGCTGTGATAAACGTGCAGGGGGACGTTCACCAAAACAGCTCTACTCAAGTTCGACACACCTGCCTCACAGACTCAGCTGATCTAGTCCACTGAAACTCACTCTTTTGTGCTCAATTAACTTATTTGATGCTCATTTGTTGTTTTATATTCTTTTACCAAGGGTTTGGAAAATCAATTAAAAATCAGCTTGTGTTCCTGATGGTGTTCCTTGTGCCAGCTACTCTGTTTTAAAATAAGGTCTTAGAAATGAGAGCCAGTGATACAGGTCTGGTTAGCTAGACTTTAATCATGGAGTTCCATTTTTGTTATATGATGTAAAACATCAAGAGATAGAAGAAGAAACTGATAGTAACTTTTAAAAAAAATGTAGTGCCTGATTTATTGTTATTATGAAGTAAATTGTAATGAAATACATAACCACTAAGAATTATTTTAAACATAAAACATTTGTCAAAACGTTTCAGGAGAATTTTCCAAAACTGTTTGCAATTTAGGGAATTCTTACAAAGGAGATGAGCAGGCAGGGCTGATGGTTTTTAAATTATAGCTATATTTAACATCTTTAACAACAGAACAAATACCACTAACCAAAACATAACTCAATCATAATGAAATTTCCAAATGAGTGTTTAGAGATGAAATCTTTAAGAAGTGACTGGGCCGCCGGGCAGTGGCGGCGCACGCCTTTAATCCCAGCACTCAGGAGGCAGAGGCAGGCGGATCTTTTTGAGTACTAGGCCTGCCTGGTCTATGAAGTGAGATCTAGGAAAGGCGAAAAGCTACACAGAGAAACCTTGTCTCGAAAAACCAAAAAAAAAAAAAAAAAAAAAAAAAAGAAGTGACTGGGCCTAAGGGCTCCACTCTCATGATGGAAGAGCATTCATACCATTATAAAAATGTTAGTTAGTTCAACGTTACGGCAAACACCTGTGATCTCAGTACTTGGGAAGCTGATGCAGGAGAGCTGGATTACATAGGACCCTGTCCCAAATAATAAATGAAATAATAGTGGGTGTGGCCCTTTCCATACCAAAAAAAAAAACACAACTCACTTAAAAATGAATAAGAGGGGCTGGAGAGATGGCTCAGAGGTTAAGAGCATTGACTGCTCTTCCAGAGGTCCTGAGTTCAATTCCCAGCAACCACATGGTGGCTCACAACCACTTGTAATGAGATCTGGCGCCCTCTTCTGGCCTGCAGAGATACATGCAGGCAGAATACTGTATACATAATAAATAAATCTTAAAAAAAAAAATTTAAAAAAAAATGAATAAGAGATAGTTTATCCTGGAGCCAAATATGAGTGACCATGGCCCCTCCAGATTTAGGTTACCCTCAACTCCATCTTCCAACATGGTGCAGTTTCATCAGGTTTTTGTAGTAGTAGAAGGGAGAAAGGTAAAAATCAAGACGCCTTCCAAACACATTTGGGGGGAGCAGGAAGCAGGCAGGCGACAGTGGAGCAGTGACATCTCGGGTCCAGGCTCCCAGTGCTGTCTGGCAGCGTTCTTGGTCTCTAGGCTGTCGGAAGCTAGCGCTATGCATATCCCAAAGGACATTCTTACCAGTCGTTCACATGTTAGGTCATGTACACGTGAAGACAAAAGACGGCCAAAGACAATTTGGTTCTGGACTTGCAACATTCCAATCCCTCCACAACCACTGAAGAGTCAAACAGTCAGTCAGTCTTCAAAGTGCAGTCCACTCCACGAACGTCCATCGTCAGCCCCTCTCATCTTTTCTGGTCCTTCCACCGTCTACTAATACACAAGCAGACCCCTGACAGATGCGGGCCCTGGAATTCAGACTTTCCCCATTGCCGGACACGAAAGAACTACCATTCCTTCCTTGGTCCCCAGGATGTGGTATTCTGTTATGGCCTCAGAGAACGGAGGGAGACACCGAGTACAGGTGTGCCAAAGGACACAGCAGAGGCAGGATAGGAAGGAGGCACAGAATCTAGGAACCTCCACAAAGGCCAACATCACAGTCCATCACCCTCTTGACTTCTCTGAGGCAACTTCTAGCCTCAGAGCTTGTCATAGGAACGACAGACAGTTTGTATATATGTTTGTTGTGTGCCAGTTTTTCTACTGAGGGACTCACACCTTTCGACAAAACTGAGGCACACTGAGCAAGCCACATCCTTGGATCTCATGAGAGGCATTAGCAGCAGCGTCTGAGCTGACCCTGGGGCTACTTTGTATAAAGGCGGAGCTAACCCTTTTCATACCCCCTGCCTGTTCCCCAAATCGGAAATCCTTTCTCTCCTGCATCTTTAACATTTGAATACTGAATCTGGGGTTTTCTGTCAGGGCGTGCTCTTGGTGTGTGAACACCAAACTCTTTCCAACCCTTCTCTGGTACTGGTGCTCCCAGGAAGCCCTCTATTTTGGTGAACTATTGACCTGTGTTGTCTGTCTTCTGTGGGCACAACAAAGGTGAAGGAGGACGGCCCTGAGCTCTCAGGATGAGGGGTTTTTAAAGGGAAAAACCGCAAGCAGGGTGGTACAAGCCTTGGCATCATATGATTGGGTGAGGGTATGTAACCTTTGAATTTACTGGTTGGGGGTTACAGTTATCATTTGGGGCAGGCCTGGACAAGTCCCAGGCTCCGTCCTTGAGCTGCCATGGGGGCTGGCTGGCCTTGCACATACTGACTTTGGGGGCTGACTCAGTGGCCCAGGCTCTGTCCTTGAGCTGCCATGGAGGCTGGCTGGCCTAGCACGTTTACATTGACCCATGCACGTAGCTCTAAGTTGGTGAAGGGTCCCAGACAGTAAACAACTGACTGAACCTTGAGCAGTCAGACTATGTGCAGAAAGGGAGCTACTTCAAGGACTATGTCTTTTGTTCACAGCCCTTCCAGAAACTGCTTGCTTAAGTCTCAGGAAACTGAAATTGGGGCCTGATCTCTGAGAAAAGACTGAGCAGCCTGTTATGGAGTCTACTTGGTTCTTTCACTTAATTCTTCTTTAGGTGTCGATTCTAAGAGGTCTTCCCAGCTTCCTGGATGCCCGTGCCAGTCTGTGTATTCTCCAGGAATGCCAGGAGTGCCTTCTCTGAGTGGGAAGGGCAACAGCAGAGAATGTATCTCTCCCTTGTTCAAGATGGCTGAGCTGGGCCTCTGGGCTGTGCTTTTTGGCAGATACAGTCCATCTTTGTGATGGTGACCTCGCTACTCACCCTTAGTCATACAGTCCTTCAGGAAGCCACACTAGATACTCACATGGAGTGCACCCTCAGCTCCCCAGAGCTTCTGAGCCCCTTTCTTTCTCTTCAGGACTCGGAATGCCTGTCGTCATTCTTAAACCCCATAGACCCTCTCAAGGCTTGATGTAGTCGTGCAACAACGTCAATTCTGTGACAGGGCAGCATCACTTGATAGCCTCTAAAGACCCCAGCACAGCAGTGGCCAAAACAGAAAAGGACCTAAGCTCTGTTAGGAAGGATGGCCACGCTCCTGTAGAAAGCTTCCATGCTGAGTGTCATGGTGGTCCCACTTTACTCACCTGGAGCCTAGAGGGTTTTGCTGTTTGCTTTTTCAGAAAATACAGTAATGTGGGTTTAAATTTATACTATACACATTCGACCGATCATAAATTCAAGTAGGATTTGCCAGTTTGATAAAGTTCCACATCTCATGAAAGAAATGTATACAAAGAGCTGGGGGAGTAGCTCCGTTGGAAAATGCTTCCATCTCCAGCAACATATAAACAAACCCACTGTGGTGGCAATCCTGGCACCTGGGAGGTGGAGGTAGGAGGATCAGAAGTTCAAGGCCAGCCTCTGCTACTAAGCTAGTTCAATAATTGGCTAGTAAGCCAGCCTGAGCTATATGACACTCAGTTTCATATAAATAAGTAAATAAACGTTAAGTAATGTTAAAAATCTGTACTTTCCTTTAAATAAAATTAAATGGGGATTGCAGTTCACCAAATTATCTTACATTTTTTACCAGGTCCATTTCCCTAACACATAATCCATGATAAAAAAAAAATTTTGTTTTGTTTTGTTTCAAATTATCTGTTTCCAGTTGTCGAATCTGTGGTTTCTATATAGCAGTAGATAACTCAGAAGTTGCAAGGCACAGATCCAAGTTCCCAGGGTGCCCAGCACTGAAAAACATCAAAAGCAAAGAGTCAGCCAGATGGTGATGGCACACACCTTTAATCCCAGCACTTGGGAGGCAGAGGCAGACATCTCTGAGTTCGAGGTCAGCTTGGTCTACAGAGCAAGTTCCAGGACAGCCAAAGCTGTTACACAGAAAAACATTATCTCAAAAAAAAAAGCAAACGGTCAAACATCACGAAACACAGATCCATATACATTCACCCTGGGAAGTGACATCGATATGAGTATAGCCTGGAGATGCTGTTACTGTTATTGTTTTTATTATTATTATTATTATTATTATTATTATTACTATTATTATTATTATTATTATTTCACTATACAGACACAAAAAATGAAAATATAAAATCAAAATATAACAGCCTATTGCAAATGCACACAAACAGGTACATACAATACAACCTTAATTGTCTCAAATTGAGTCCAAGAAGGAAAAAAAAACTTCACAGGCTTCATTTATTTCAATTGCTGTTTTGACAATTGAGCTGGTCTGAATGGAAGACAGTTTAATCCTCCTATCTGCTGAAGTCTGTGCAAGGAATACCAGAATCACATGACTTCCTGATTCATACATTTGAAATCACAATCCCCTTTCAAAGACATTTATTTACGTTTTATTTTTTTCTCTTGCGTGATTCTCTGTCATTTCTGTGATTCACAACTTTATGATATGTGCAGAAAATTCATCATCTCTTGGGAACTGTTTTAATTTCTCAACACAGTGAACACTTTTGGCAACTGAACTGTCACCCCGGCAGCTCTGGGGTATTGTTAATAGGATAGTGTCTGCAGCCCAGGCTGGCAGTGTGCCATCCTCATGACATGCCAGTCCAGACAGAGATATAAGGGAGGTGGAGGGCCAGGGTAGGCACAACTTCCCTCCAGGTGGGGACATCCAGATGTGTCTCTGAGTGTGTAGATCCAGGCTGCCGGGCATCAGTTTTGACTCTTGTAGGTAGGTATGACAACCTCTTCATGTCTGATTATTTCTTTGTGAAGTTTAACTCTAGAAAATTCAATTGCAAATCCCAGAATTTAGGAGGTGGAGGCTGGAGGAACAAAGAGCCCTCAGCTACGTAGAAAAACCAGCCCCACCACTCTACATTTTACAAAGAAACTCTTCCCGGTAACACATCTCGGTACTTGATGAATTAAAATGTGTGCAAGTGGGTGATGACATTAGGTTAATTCTTTCAAAACAAACCCATAATTTTATTAATATAAACAAGTCCTCTGCTGCTACCTTATTTTTCACATACTGATTAATTTTCCTTTCAGTATCGTGAAATTTAGACTTTTAAAATTACAATTTAACAATGAATTTGGGGAAATGTGGAAAGGATATTATGCATTCTGACTTTTCTGTGGTTTCTCAAGAGGCTTTTGTAAGAAGAAAATGAAGGCATCTGTCTCAGCCTGCAATTTCAAATGCAAAAGATGTGAGTGTAGTTTTGAGTAAAGATGCCACCATGTTCGCACTATTCTAGAAAGAACTATGGAAATGTATCTAGGGGATGTCTGACTCAATGGACACAGAGCAAGGAGAGGAAAAGGAAGCCCTTGTTTTCCAGGGTAAAACAGCTCCCCATTGCCTGCACTGGTCAGGCTGGAGGTCTTGCATTCCACATTTTAACACATTTAGCATGTTTCCCAAATGAGCTAATTCTTTAGGACCAGTTTTAATCATGATGTATTTCCGTGGTCAGTTTTTTAGGATTTTATCCCTAGAGTGGAGGTTTATGAGCTTTTTAATTAGTGTAACTTGTCTCATTTGTATAGAGATATAGGCAATACTTTTAATAAAGACAAGGTGACCACACAACTAGATACATAATGACTGATGACTTTTAATCATTTATTTCACCTTTAAAATGTATACATATATCACCTATTGCCACTAAAAAGTTGAGCAGATCACTTGTAATTTTAAAATTACTTATATATAAGTAGAAATTTCATAATATATATTTTCTAGGGCTGGGAATATAACTCATTGATAGAGAGCTTGCCAAGCCTATATGAGGCCCTATGTTCAGTCTCCAGTGTTGTATAAATAGAATAAAACAGAAAATGTGTTCTTAAAAAAAAAAACCCAGAGAGGTAAGGGAAAGCTGTTGAACTAGTTTTCTGAAAACACATATACCTCTCTTGCATGTTTTAAATGAAGATTCATCACTGCTGCTTTGTGTGGTACCTTATTTCTTTATCAAAATACAAACAGCTGTCATCAAGCATCTTATTAAATTGGTGCACGCGTATCCACAACGGGAGGGAAAGGCCACAGACGAGTGAACAGCAATCACAATATGCCACACAGTGGACCATTAACTTCCTGAAAAATGAAGTCAGACGTGACATCCACGAGCCCTCGGGACTTCGGATATGGTTTGAGGCACAGTCACAAATAGATGCGTGCTGTGGGATTCCAGCATCCATGTGTCCCAGGGACACAGAAGAGAGATAGTGGCTGCCAGCGGGTTTGGGGCAAAAAGAACAGGGAGCTTTGCTTAGTAGAGTGCAGAGTTCTCATTTGGAGGCATTAAGAGAATTTAGAAGATGGATTCTGGCGGGGAAGGTGCCTAATGACAACCCGAGTGACTATGTTACATAAAATAATTACTGTGGCTGCAGAAATTAATTTAAGAAAATTGCTCCCTGCCCTCCAGCGGCTAAATGACACCAACTTAGAGTTTCATCTATCTTCGATAATGAGAAGTGAAAAAATGTTAGAAGGGTTCTGAATGGTCAGCAGTGTGATGTCCTGAGAGAGGTGGCCATGGTTCCATAGAGTTTCCATGGAGCAAAAGTGTATGTTAGAACTGGGAATGTGGGCAACTCCCGAGCTGAGCAAAGAGCACATACTTTCAAAGCAACTTTCAAAAAATAAAATAATTTCCAAAATATTTACCTTTCAAACAACTAACTAAAATTCTCAGGGACTTGGTCAGGGGCTAAGTGAGTCATAGCGCCATTGTTTCAGCCACAGTTTTGATTTTTACCTGAGAAGAAACCCAGGAGGTACCCCAGAAGGCACAGGCTCCCTCAAGACATTAGAACTGGACAGTGACCTTGAGAATGAATTAGTGTCCACAAGTTTGTAGGGTGGACGTTTTGATTCAATAAGCTCAAACAATCTTGGCAGCAGCAAGTCAAAGGTTAAAATGAAAGTAAAGCTTTAAAGTCCCCTGAGAATGAAGCAGGAAATCATTGTTTTCTCTACAATTAGGCAAGAGCTAGGGTCTCTGAGTTATCCACTAAAGGGAGAGTTTGTGCGGCTGTAAAGAGGGAGGGGCTGTCTAAGAGAGCAAACACTTTGGAACAGTTCATTAAAGCATGCATTTAGCATTACAGCTTCGCACTGGAGAAACCCCCAAGAAGGCTGTTGTCATTTGAAGGGTCAACCTACGTAAACAGAACCACCTTAACTCCTACCCAAGGGCAAGTTAAGCCTCTGTCCACAGGGTCTGACTTTCCTCTTCCAGATCCAAGAGCAAGCACCCCTCTGTTTGGCCGAGGCCTTTATTATTCAGTGTTAGAACCATGTGAATTTGGTGTTTTCAGTAAAGTTTAACGAGGCCGGGATGTGATTTGGGAGGTAGAATTTTTACATGCCATGCCCAAAGCCCTGTGTCCAATCCCCAGTGTGACATAAATCAGACATGGTGGCACAGGACTCTAATCTCAGCAATCAGGAGGAAGAGACAATGAGATCAGAGTTCCCAGATCATTTTCTACTACATAGCAAATTTGAGGCCAGCCTGGGATACACCACCCCTTGTCTCAATAAATAAACAAAAATTTTGATATAGTAAATATGTCACCTACATTAATGAGTCCCTAAGTTGTAATATAACCAATATTTACTTAAGCTCCTAAGACTTGGTGATGCAAAACGGAATGCCCATGAAACCATAAATGACAAATTCACAAATAGTTCTCAACCATTTATGTGGCTATCAGGTAATGGAAAGTCAGGAGTTATTTGCAGCTTACAGAGAACATTGATTCATTATACCATTGAACTCACTGTCTTGGTGAAATGTGTCAGGTAGACCTTGGGAATGAAAAGGCTTATGTTAATGTGTGACTGTGTTGGAACATTTTGCAATCACAGATGGGCTTGAAGTGGGTTTCACCATTTCTCATAGGCAACCTTCCAGGCATGTGTAGTTCACACAGCATCGCAGATGATGAAACTCTCTTCCGTTCTTCCATTTGAGGTGTCGCTTCTGCTGTAGATCATGGACATGGGGAATGCCACAGCAGGGTTCATTCTCCTGGGACTCTTTAACAACACCAGAGCCCACCTGGTTCTCTTTGTGCTGGTTCTGACTGTGGCCCTCAACTCCGTGGTAGGCAATGCCCTCCTGCTTCTCCTGATTCACCAGGACCGCCGGCTCCATACACCCATGTACTTTCTCCTGAGCCAGCTCTCCCTTATGGACATGATGCTGGTCTCCACCATAGTGCCCCAAATGGCAGCTCATTATTTAATGGGCAAGAAGTCCATCTCCACTGCTGGCTGTGGCTTCCAGATCTTCATCTTCCTCACACTGGAAGGTGGAGAATGCTTCCTCTTGGCAGCCATGTCCTATGACCGCTACGTGGCTATCTGCCGCCCACTGCGCTACTCGGTTCTCATGAGCTGGCAGTTATGTCTGAGACTGAGCTTCGGGTCTTGGCTCCTGGGCGCAGCTGATGGAGCCATGCAGGCCGCTGCCACCCTGAGCTTCCAGTTTTGCCGCGGGAATGAAATCGATCACTTCTTTTGTGAGGCCCCTGTGCTGTTGCGCCTGGCTTGTGGTAACACGGCTGCCTTTGAGTTTGTCATGTACATCTGCTGTGTGCTGATGCTGCTGGTCCCCTTATCCCTCATCCTGACGTCGTATGGCCTCATCCTGGCCACTGTCCTCCAAATGAGATCCATAGAAGCCTGCAAGAAGGCCTTTGCCACCTGCTCCTCGCACTTGGCAGTGGTGGCCCTCTTTTATGGAGCTGCCATTTTTATCTACATGAGGCCCACATCTTCCAGGTCAGCTAACCATGACAAGACTGTATCAGCATTCTACACTATTGTCACCCCCATGCTGAACCCCCTCATCTACAGTCTTCGGAACAGTGAAGTCAAGGGCAGCCTGAGGAAGCATGTAGCCCACTGTGCTCTCCTAACTAGAAAGGATGCCTTGGTTTGCTTGGATTTTGGTGGTTGTACAAAGAGGAAAGGTATACAGTAGCCCCCTTCCCAGGGATAAGGTCTCAGGATGCCCGGAGGATACCTGAAGCCACTGAGAATTCCAGGCTCTGTTGTTAAGTTTCTTTTCTACCTTGACTCTTCTATCGTGTGGTTGGAACTGGGGGAAGCTGAGGAACCTCAGCAAAACTGCCACCGAGTTTCTTTGTCCTTCCTCTCAATTTCATGGACACCTTTATTCTTACTGTGGGCATTAGCAAAATCAGAAGGCTACTTCCTCCTTTAGTAAATGGGAAGCTTCCGTAGTTTAACTCGGTAAGTACCTTACAGCTTGTCTTTAGGGGGAGGGTTTTCAAGACAGGGTTTCTCTGTGTAGCCCTGGCTTCCCTGGACCTCACTATGTAGACCAGGCTGGCCTTGAACCCAGAGATCCTCCTGCCTCTGCCACCCGAGCACTGAGATGAAAAGTCATGCACCATCAGTCTCCGGCCAGTTTGTCTTTAACACATCTAAATTTCAGTATGACAGCTTTTACACTTTGGGGAAATAAAGGTCACTAGAACGGAGGTGGCTCCTCTGTGACAGATGGGTGGGTCGCGTACACAGAGTGGATACGCTGGCCAGAGCTGGGTGCCAGCACTGTAAGCCGTTTCGACATGTTACTCAGCAGGCAGCACTGGAAGGTGGCTCCCTCTGGAAGTTCTCACTGGTTTTCAACTGGCAGTTGTCCCAGGCGGCTATGGGTGTGGAAAGCCAGGCCACGAGTAAGGGCTGTATGTGTGCGTCTGTGCCCGTGTCTTGGTTACTTTCTGCTTTACTCTGAGGTTTTGGTAAAAACCACATGCTGGCAGCTGATTCCAGAGCTGCTGTCTCATTTCAAAATGAACTCTCAACAAACCGGAAAAATCACAAATTTGCCAAGAAAAGCTCTCAGGCCTCACCACACCCGGATTTTGGTGCCAGCAGGGAATGAAGTGACTTTGAGTATTAACTGCCAGTTGGTTTCAAGTCACCCTTGTCAAGCCAGAGGGCACTCACAGCAAGCTTTATCTTCTTGACAGTTCTACGGATCTCAGCCTTTGTACCTGCTTGTTACCAAGAGATGCAAAGTCCAAAACTGCACAGGGGTCTCTTGAGCCCTTTTCTAATGAAACATCTGCCCACGGATTCAAGACTAGTCTGAATTCCATTTCCATCCTATACTGTTCCATCGCTGGACACTGATGGCACTGTGTGTGTGTGTGTGTGTGTGTGTGTGTGTGTGTGTGTGTGTGTGTGTGTGTGTTTTAATACGTTGTGAAGATTCTCTGCATTTTTACACACTCCAGAAGCTATTCTTTTAAACTGATAATAGTGCCCAGTGTTTCAAAAACCACCACTTGTTCCCTGATTTGTGATGGACATGTGGAAGGCCTTCAACCTTATTTCAATTACATTTTTATTTCACTTGGTAAATGGATGATGAACCTTTTATCAAATTGTTTAATTTTGAACTCCCACAAGCAGTTCACACAGGGTGCAGCTGCCCCAGGCTTTATCAACCCTTTCCACTCAGGAAGTCTGGCAGCACCTCATCCTGCTTCCTGTGTGTATTTCCCTGGTAGTTTCTGAGGCTGAGTGTTTTTATACAGATTTACTGCTAGGCTGGGTATCTTCTTTTGTTAACTTTGTATTTCAGTCTTGGAAAATAAAAATAAAAAATGCTGCTGATTCCCCAGCAAACAACTAGTGATTCACTCAGATATTCATAGGAGTATTTGGAATTTTAAAATAAAGCTCTATGTTAGAATGTTCTCGTTCAGTGTCTGGGCTTTTTCACTTCGTGTGGACTTGGGGGTTCCTTTTCAATCTCTTCCACTTTACTCGAAGCAACAAGCCTTGACTGTTGGTTGAGCTGATTCTAGCACCTGTTTCTATTCCATCAAAGAATTCAGCCCCTGAAAAACCTGAAACCTTTCTTATGAAGAATAGTGTCCTAATACACAACATTTCAGGTGAAGGATGAAAATAGAGTTTAAAAAAACAAAGCTTTAGATGGCAGAGCATACATCCCATCATTTTCTGGCAAGTTATAAGCCTACAGTAATTTCTTGGTAATAAATTTAGAACATTTTTAAAGTATCACTTTTACAAATAAAATAATTACTAATATACATTTGTATATTAGAAATGTTTATAAATATATTGTGTTTTCCAAAGACAAAACAAATGCAAAAGCAACTCTAAGATAATGCTTTAGAATAACAAAGATTAATCATTTTATCCCTTCACTTCTGTTAATGCTGTTTTCATCTGAAGCCCTTCTCCATAGTATTTCCTTTTCTCCAGCAGCATTAATGTTGCCCTGCACATCTCACATAAGATCGCAGGCAGAGTCTACAGAAGGTGAGCCACAAGGTGTGATGTGATCCACCTCTGCAGGTCCTTCAGAGCTTTTGAAGATACCCCAAATATGAACATGAATCCAGGACTCTGATGCAGCTCAGCCCATTTGTGATGTTAATTTGGTGGCTCCTGTGACACAGGGACACTTTGATCAAATGATAACCACAGTAACTATTTAGTTTCTGCATTATCTTTAGGACACATACAGTAGGTTGGTGTACTCTTAGCCTGGATGGAATAGGAACTTTTTAACTTGTCATAAAATAATAATCAACTTACAATCATAATAATCATTCATTCAGTACTTCCTTTTGGACTGACTTTGTTTGCTTTTGACTCTGATTTCCCCTTTCACTGAGGACCACATCCTTAGCTGGGTTTGATGTTAGTCACTATGAAAATGAAGACAGCTCAGCAGAGCAAAGTGCATTGATTCTCTTTTTCCTTTCTTTTTGTCATTATGTGTTTCTTGTTTCGTCTTGTTTGCTGTTGTTTTAAATTTGAATCCCTGCTTTGCCTGCCTCCACCTGCTGAGTGCTAAAGGCCAAGTCCTGTAGAGGGATACCAAGTGCTCTGGGATGCTCTGCAGACCCAGCCCTGGACTGAAACAGGAAGTGCACTTGGGTAAACATCTCCTCTGCATGTTGGACAGAAGGTGTGCCATCCTGCCAACCCCTTTTCTTCCTCAGCTCCCTTTGCTCTCGTACGGCAGAGGTCTTCAGGTAGGACCTCATTCATTAATTCTGGATTTCCATTTGTTCATTGGTATCACTTCCTCTTCTGCTCCACACCTCAGGAGATGGAGGCAGATAGATCTCTGTGATTTCAAGGCCCACCTGGTCTACTTAAGTTCCAGTCCAACCATAGCTACATAATAGGACTATCTCGAAATAATAATAATAATTAGTAAGAAAAAGAAGGAAGTTTCATTGTACATACTCATTTTACGTGGTATTGTGTTACACAAGGACATTTTCATTCCAGTATATGTTGGACTTGGAGTAAATCCCCCTCCATATTCCCTACCCTACCCTTACTCCCCTCCCCTCCCATCAACTAGTCACTGTTGTCCTGCACAATTTCAATTGTACATACATAATTTTGTCTTGCTATAAAATCTAGGAAGCTCAAATGAAAAGAACATACAATATTTGTCTTCCTAAGATGGCTTTAATTCACTTAATATCATCTCCAGTTTTATCCATTTTCCTGCAAACTACATAATTTCATTTTTCTTTATGACTGAAGAAGATTCCATTGTGTATGTAAATCCCATGTCTTCTACCCATTCCTCTGATGAGTCTGGTTCCACAGTTCATCTATTGTGAAAATCACTACAGTAAACACTGACATGATGACTTGGAATCCTTTGGGCAGTAGGGTTTTGTTTTGTTTTGTTTTTGTTTTTGTTTTTTGTTTGTTGGTTTTTGGGGGTTTTTGTTGTTGTTGTTTGTTTGTTTGTTTTTTGAGACAGGGTTTCTCTGTGTAGTTTTGGTGCCTGTCCTGGATCTCGCTCTGTAGACTAGGCTGGCCTCAAACTCAGAGATCCACCTGGCTCTGCCTCCTGAGTGCTGGGATTAAAGGCATGCGCCACCATCACCCATTTTTTTAGTTTTTTTTTTTTTTTTTTAGTAATCTCCATCTTGACTTGCACAGTGGCCAGACTAGTGTACACTCACACCAGCAGTGAGTGAGCATTCTCTGAGTAAGCTGGAATCCCTGCATAGTTCTGATCTGCATTTCTCTGGTGACTAGTGAGATTGAACATTTTTCATGGGTTACTGGCCATTTTGTTTCATTGTTTGAGAACTGCCCATTTCCATTGGGCTATTATTGATTGGATTGATTTCTGGCTTAATTTTCTGAATCATTGGTATGTTCTAGATACTGATCCTCTGCACAAATAACACAGACTTTTTTTTTTTTTTTTCATTATGTGGGCAAGCTCTCAGTTAACTAGTTCCTTTGCTTTGCAAAATTCCATTTGTCAGTTTTTGGCGGTTTTCTGTATGTGGTGTGCTGGTTAGTTTAACTGTCAGCTTGACACAGCCTAGAATCTCCTGAGAAGAGAGTCTTTATGTGGAATTGTCTAGGTCAGGTTGGTCTGTTGGCATGCCTGCAGGGGTTGTATTGATTGTTAAGGCAGGGTGACCCACCCTGAATGTGGGGGGCAGACCTTTTCATGTCCAGACTGAGCAGCAAGCAGGCAGTGTGGGTGCACTTGTCTCTCTGCTCCTGACTGAGGATGAGACTAGCTTGAGTTCCAGCCTTGACTTCCCTGAACCAATGGGACCGTTTCCAAGTAAACCCTTCCTCCCCCCCAGGCTGCCTTTTGTCGGAGTATTTATCATGCAACAGAAACAAAAGCAGAACACAGTAGTGAAGTTCAACCTAGCCTGTTGTACAACACTGAGACTCTCCTCTCCTTTCTCTCTCCTTTTCTTCCTCCCTCCTTTTCTCCCTCCCTCCCTCTCTCCCTCATTTTTTGAGACAAGGTTTCTCTGTGTAATCCTGATTGTCATGGCCCTCTGTAGACCAGGCTGGCCTCGAACTCAAGAGATCTTCCTGCCTCTGCCTCCCGAGTGCTGGCATTAAAGGCACGCACTGCCGGGCCCGACATTTTGTTTGTTCGTTTTGTTTTATTTTGTCTGAGGCCTTCTCTCACACAAGCAGCTGAGCTTCAACGGCTTCCCATCACCAGTGGCCAACTGCTCAAACCAGTACAAATAAGATGGGCACAGGTTATAACCAATCAGGTTGCTTCTTTACCTCACTTCCGTTCCCGTGGATGCCTCCTCCTCTTCCCTCTGCCTATGTGATGCTGCAAGGCCTCCTGAAGCACTTTTTAGTCAGACACTGCCTGACTCTAAATCATAATGTGATAGCCTGTGAAATATATCTTGTGTAATTTTTAACAAGAGCAGCATTTATTTCGCTGGGCGACGCACACCTTGGGAATTCAGCGTGCAGCCTCACTCCACCAAGAGAGAATGCTACTTCTGGTGATCATCTTCCCCCAAGCTCCACAGTTTAGCCTTGTACAGAGTGATGTCATTGTAGACCCTGAAGTGGTTCAGCCTGTTGTCCTGACGTTCTGGATTGACCTAAAGAGGAGAGGACAGGATCAGAAGGAAATCTGTCAGGGAGGGGGCAGACTAGGGTTTACATGATGTAGAGTTGGGTCTGAATCAGGCCCACACCCCTGTGACAGCAGGGCTTTTCCTTTCTAAACCCTGCACTGTGACATGGATCTGTGAACATTCACATCGAAGATCCCCTGCTGCCTGAAGGGGGCCTTGCCTAAGGACTCACCACCCCTGGAAAGTAGCTCACAGAGGTGAGGCGGCATATATAATACTGTAGCCAGGCTACTGGGACAGCACCTTGCATGGGCTACCTCACAAGTGTGAGCTTGTTGAAAGAGTATGGAGCATGAGCACTGTGACACATAAATCTCATTCTATGCAAATAGGCTGGCTATCTTCCTCTTAAGTAACCATCTATGAAACCACAATAAACTTCTCTCTAAAAAGGGAGGAATGCTGAGTCAAATAATTTGTACTTTGTAATAATTTTCTGTATGGATCTGTTACCTAATGAACCCAATTTCTACCTTTGCCATGATTTTCTTTCCTTTTCACATGGAAAAGATTCTCTCATTGACCAAACTGCTCAGGCTGGCCTGTGCTCTATTTAGTTAGGTCTGTCTCTCGGAACCTCCATATCCATCCCTGTCTTGTCCAGTTTTAGCAAAATCCCTGCTAAGTCCACTAACAAAAACTACCACCCCTAGTGATGTGGTTCTCACGCTCCAAATTCCACCAGGGTCCTCTGTCTCCACCACCCCACATGTGAAGTCTGCTCACCTTTTCTGCCTTCAGCAATGATCCCCTCAGGTTAGGTCAGCCTGAGTCCCCCTCATCCCTGGAGCTTTCTGTCAGCAGTCTCTGTCTGTTGACCCCCACACATCAGTCCTCAGTCAGGCTCTCTCACTTGCCCACACTCTGTTCACTGCAAATCCCAGTCTTGGGCTACTGCCCAGAGCACCAGTCCCTCAACTGAATAATTCCTTCCTTCCATTTTTAAAGCAATCACCGAATAACTGATTTATCATCCATCTTCAGCAATGCCGTTGAACAATTTCTTCTTTCACACTCCTCCCTCATTCACCAAGTTTTCTCTCCCACCCCTCTCTTTTCTGCTTTGTATGGTCTTTGCTTCTCCAGCTCTCTAGCCAACCCTTTCTCTCTCTTTTACATTCAGCCTTCTTTAGGTCAGTTCTAGGTCCCTGCTGGCATCCTTCCCCCATTTCCTGAAGGATTCTCTCTCCCAGACAATACCCCGTTATCTGAAAAGGAGCCATTGCAGGTGAGCAGTGGTAAAGACTGGACATACAGAGGGTTTTTTGTTTGTTTGTTTGTTTGTTTATCCCCATGGAAAAGAGTGGCCCTGAAAAGTAAACTCTGCACTGTGACATGAATCTGTGAACGTTCACATTGAAGATCCCCAAACGGAAAGACAGAGACTGCTGAGACTAGAGCTGCAGAATGGGTGAGAAGCCGGGCCCCTACAACAGGAGGGAGACACACAGGATGCAGAGAGCTCTTGGGAGTGGAGGATGCTTCAAAGTCTCTCAGTGGGTGAGGAGGATGTGTATCAAGCCAAGGAGCCAGGGTCAGCATCTGACTCGGGGCTCAGCTGGATGCTGGGCTCCCTCTTCTGATTGTTCCCATCCACATTACAGCAGCCCACCCCATGTTTATTGAGAAGTGGCGTGTCTATGTGTCAGACTCAGTTCTAGGCACCTTACAAATATTCTTTTTATTTTCATTATTTTGCCTTACCTTTATTATTCTCTCTATAGTCTTACACCTTCTTTCTTGCACTTAAAAACCCTGTGAGATAGGTACTATAGTATTTCTATATCATAACTGTGAAACGAGGTCACAAAAAAACTTAGTGACTTGTCTAACGTCATATAACTAGGAAATGTAACCCAGAATTCAACCTCGGGCGAGACTGCCTCCCCAACCTGTCCTCTTGGCTGTCCCTGGCCATGCTGTTATGCTCCCAGGCACCACTAAGCAAAGGAGCCATGCTCACCAACGGATTGGGGTCCCATCCAATTTCTTGGGTTTCAGTCTGTGTCTCTGAATATTTCTTCCTTGGGCCCTGTGCAGCATGGTGGATGAGGTTCAGGAACTTGGCTGGAATTGAGGCACAGTTAAAAAGGGGGGCAGAAACCACCACAACAACCAGCATGGCATGATAAACCTAAGGGAGTAATAGTGGCATGCATGCCTTGGTAGAAACCAACAGCTCTCTAGATGGCCTTAAGGCCCGCTCAACAAGGGGAAATCATGCCTGGAACTAGAAAACTAGCCAGCTGCCCTGGACTAGTGAAGTCATAGATCTTAGAGGAGAATCTACAACCATCACTTCACTAAAGCAGCATAAAGCCCTAATTGCATAGTAAATCTTTAGCTGTATGCCAACAGATGAGACAAGTTCTCACTCCTCATCCAAGAAACTTCTCTCTGCCACAGATGGAGACCATTACAGAAAAACACAACTCGTCAAGCTGTAAAGAGCAAGAGACCATGTGACGTCCAGTCCCAGCTAACACAGCTACAACACATTTCCTGCACTTAAGGCTCAGAGACTATTGAAGAAGAGAAGGTAGAAAGATTGTAAGTGCTAGAGAAACAGGAAGTTTGCTGTGAGAGTATGTAACCTAGAAATTCCATAGAGGCTACCCCCATGAAGTTTCACCAACATGGCTGCCTACACAAGACCTGAACAATAACACTACCAATAGACGTGCTAACATGGAAGGATAAAGGCTCATGAGACCTCAGCCCTAGAGCAAAAACTACAGACAACTATAGGCTGCTGAGAGCAGGGGAATAGTCTTCCCCAGGGAAGAGCCCTCAGTTGGTTAGCCGATAATACCAAGTGGGCAGCCCTGAAATCATATAATACAGGTAACATTATACAGACTGATCAGCATGTGTATGCATAATAACAATTAAAGGAAAAGGCTATGGATTTGAGAAAAAATAATGTGGGAATACATGGGAGACATTGGAGGGAGGAAATGGAAAGGACTAAATGATGCAATTATATTATAAATTTTTAGAAATTAGAATCTGAGTCAGACTCTTGGACAAAAAGTCTGTTTCGCGCCGGGCGGTGGTGGCGCATGCCTTTAATCCCAGCACTCGGGAGGCAGAGCCAGGCGGATCTCTGTGAGTTCGAGGCCAGTCTGGGCTACCAAGTGATGTTCCAGGAGAGGCGCAAAGCTACACAGAGAAACCCTGTCTCGAAAAACCAAAAAAAAAAAAAAAAAAAAAAAAAAAAAAAAAGTCTGTTTCGCTATCTTTGACCTAGCCATAGGATCCCATAGAGAAAAAGCAATGGCCTCGGATTGGCCAAGGCCCCAAGATGTAGAAATCTTGTTCTCTGCCCACCTTTCGACTACTCTGTCAGGCTGGATTCTGGGTCCTGGGGGCAGAACCTCGGGCAAGACAGACAAGAGCCCTGCTATCCTGTGGCTTGTGGTGTAGATGAACAACAAAGGACAGAATATTCAGGCGTACACATAAACCTCCCGAAGAGTGACCCATGCTTCAGAGAAAGGAGCAGGTACTGCAATACCTCCATGTCATGATGAAGAAACTGAGTCACAAAGCAGCTTAGAAACTTATCCACTGTCACACAACTAGTGAGAGAAGGGGGACTCTGGATGTTGAGCAGGAAGCAGCCCTGGGAAGATGTGGAAGTCCAGCTCCCACTTTTTGAAGGGTTCTTAGGTGGAGGAGAGAGGAATTAGGAAGTGATAGAAAGAGAGACCTAGCTGACAAGAAGAAATAAATACAAGGTAGCTTTGAGAGGGCCTGGGTCAGTACCCAACAGCCTCATCCTTTAAAAAGGGCTTTTTATAATATGCCAAGGGGAGAGGCAAAAGACCTCCCCCTTGCAAGATCAAAGCACACCACACAGCCAAGTGTAGACCCTTTCCAAACACACCCATGCCCAAATCACCTCATTATGCAGCCCTGCTGGGTAAAGCAAGCCCAGATTCTCTGACCCTGAATAATTTGGGCTCCACATGGAGAGATAAAGGGACAGCCCACTTCGGGCAGCAAGGACAAGAGCCAGGCTGTACACAGTTCTCAGACCATGCTGCTGTCTCTCCTTTCTGTGCCTTTCACAAACCGAGAAATGTCCTTGCACAGGCTTCCCCTGAGAGGCTCTGCCTCCACCTGGAATCTCCAAAAACTCTTCCCAGAATGCCACTGCCTGACAAAGGCACCACTTAGATATTGGCTCATACATCCCATTTCCAACTCCTCTCCAGGTAAGCACAAGCCTCCTTCCTTCTCCTTCATAATGAGGCCCTCTTTAGCCCCAGCCCATGGACTCTCTTACAGCATATGTAATTACAGCATAATTACAGCCAACATGTACACACCCAATCCTAACCACTTGCATTATTTTGCCTAGTTCTAATCACAACCCTAAAAATTATTTCAGAAAAGTTAAAAAAAATAAATAAAAACCAAAACATTGGTTTTCCTAGTTAGCTTTAAGTGTCAATTTGGCCCAGCCTAGGGTCATCTGAGAGGAAAGCCTAGATCGAGGAATTAGCTAGATCAGGTTGACCTGTGGGCATGTCCGTAGGGGACTGCCTTGACTGATAATTGACATAGGAGGGTTCAGCCCACTGTGGGCAGTATCACCCCTACTCAGAAAGAAAGCTAGCTGAGCATGAGTGTGTAAGCAAGTGAGCCAGAGACTGAGCTAGCAAGCAGCCTTCTCCTATGACTTCTACTTCAAGCTCCTGCTTGAGTTCCTGCCCTGATTCTCCTTAAGGGAAACTGACCTGGAAATGTAAGATGAAATAAACCTCTTCCTCCCCAAATTACTTTTGGTCAGAGTGTTTTACCACAGCAACAGAAGGAAACGAGAGCACTGCCCAAAGTCACTTGCTTAGTGGGTAGAGGGATTGAAAATTAAAATCAGTTAATATGATAATAATCAGGGGATGGATGGATGGATGGGTGGGTGGATGGGTGGGTGGATGGGTGGGTGGGTGGATGGATGCATGGATGGATGTATGGATGGATGTATGGATGGATGGGTGGATGGACAGATGGATGGATGTGGGGTTAGGACATTAGGAACATCGTTGTTGGCTTCGTGGTTAATAACCTGGCATTGTAGCTGAATAAGTCAGTCTCCTGTGACCTTGGTTAAATCCAGTTTAAGAGGACCCCATACTTGCCTCAAGGTGGCAGAACCCTGAGAGGTGTCTACCCCAGCTTGCCCCTCTGTGTCCTGAGCCTCAGTGTTCTCAAGCCCAGCACTCACCATCTGCAGGCTCCTCCAAGTTATCATGCCAAGACATGGGCTTCCTGGCAATTGTGTGAACTAGAGAAAAAGAAGCAGCACAATTCACATTAGCAGGTCCTAAGATTGTCCTGAAAGTCACCTAAGACTAGCTCCCTGGTTAGCACTCACTAAGGAGTCTTGGCATCTGCCAGGAAGTGCTCACGACACTGAGGAGCAAGGCCTCACAGCAAGCGTGTCACTCTAGTGCCGTAGCCAGGAGTGCCTCCTTGACCTGAAACGATCAAAATGAAGCACAGCTAATAGTTCCTGGCCATGGGGACACTCTCCAGGTGTCCCACATGGATACTGGCTTCAGGTTTCCAGCATGGAAAAGCATTCTCTGTTCAGTGCGGGTTGGCAAAGAAGCACACATTCCTGAAGACTGGTTCCTGAAGACCATCCAGATGGGGATGGACACAGAGGAGGCCGTCCATCAGAGGAACTGAATCCGTATCCCCCAGTTCCTGGTGTCGACAGGAGCACAGTGGACAGTGCTATGAGGGAGACAGGGAAGCTCTCCCTGTTCGGAGCCTTCCCTCCATGTGTGGTGACTGACAGCACACCAACATGAAGTAACATGTGAGAGAGAACCTGAGAACAGGCTCTGTGCACAGAAGTAATGGCATGGGTGTGTGGTGAGTGTCCCAGAGGTTCATGTGAGTCCTGAAGGAAGGGGGTGGGGTACACTATGTGAGAACATGTGGAAAGAAGATGAGTGAGAGCCTGGTGAAGTCGGAAACATCCAAAGGGGGTGCTCAAGAGGAAACAGCTGGTGAGAAGCAACAAAAATGAGCAAGGTAATGGGAACCAGTACCCGCCCCCCAGAAGTTCTTTGTTCTCAGACCCTATTCGCTGTTTTCACCCCAGCCACATCCAAACACCTACGATGTTTATGTCAAGGCATCTATGTCACTTTCCTGGTGTTTCCAAAATCTTTATGGATGAAAGCACGCACCAACATGCTATAGTATATTCTCAGTTTATTCCAGGGAACCCCATTAGTCATATACCCAAGGGAGCTGGGTCAGGAGATAGCACTGTCTAAGAAAGCCTGCATGTGGCCTTCAGGGATCATTTTCATTCTTAAAATGGACACTGTTTAGACAGAACTGGAGAATAATTTTTCTTCTCACTGTGGTGATCGTCACTGTGTGACGAAAACCAGGTTACCTGTGGGGAAATGGAGTCTCCGCACTTCCTGCAGACAGCTGGGCTGCTGGGCACTATGGCTAAGTAGGAACAGATGTTGGAGACAAGGAACTCGTAGGGATGGGAGATGACCTGACACATTTAAGAAATCTGTTTCTCCAGGAATGAAGGAGAAAGGAATGTGTGTGTGTGTGTGTGTGTGTGTGTGTGTGTGTGTGTGTGTGTGTGTGTAGCAGTGGCTGAGGCAGAGCAGAGTAGCACTGGGACTTTACTGGAGGATCTTGGGTGGGGTGGGATTAATATGGGGGGTTCAGAATGAATGGAAGCTGCATAAGAACCAGAGCCAGACCCAGTGGGGCCTTAGAGGTTGCTGGGTTGAAACCAGCTCAGAAACCACAGGAGGCCACCAAAATGTTTACAAAGGGACTGGCCTCCTCTGTTTGGTCTTTTAACATAGGTAGCAGGAAGGAATGTGGGGAAGGAAGTTGATGCTTGGTGGGAGAGTAGCCTGGAGCCCCTCAGACTACCCCAAATCTAGGGGATTTGGAGTCCATAGCAGCATACTCAGACACTATTAGAGAGTGAACGGCCTGGATGGACAGAGCGGCTGCCATGTGCATTGTGACCTTTCACCAGGCTGCGCAGATGTTAATTGGAAAAACTGAGGAATGATCAATGTGTACAGTGAGGTGGGGTGGGCTAGAGGTGGGGGTGGGGGTGGGGGTAACTCCTTAGCTAGTGCAACAGGATGGTTAAACCAGGCCAGCAGAGCAGCAGAGCATGGGAAAACATTCAGCTAGCAAGGGACCTGTGAGCTGCTCCCGGGAAGGCTTCTGGGAAGTGGTGGGACACATGGGTCTGGAGTTCTGTTTCAGACCCAGAAGAGTTTTCACAGAACCTGACCAAGTCACACAGGAGGGAGACAGTGGGAGGCTGGGGGCAGAAGGCGGTTTTGCCGGGGTGAGAGCAAGGGGGAATTTCAGGCTCTGAGCCTAGTAGCCCACCACTTCTGAGTTTGCGAAGGTTTGTGGCAAGAAGTCAAAATAATAATAATAACAACAAACCATACAAGAACGAAACCCCTTGGTGTATTAAAAAGAAACCAAACATAAAAACATAACAAAAAGCAGACATAAAAACCCTGCACAATTATTTGAGAAACAAAACTACCCTTCCCCCCCACAAAAAAAAAATTATTTACCTTTATTTTGCATCTAAAATACTCAATTCTGGATGCATTTGAATGCATCTATCATGCCTGTGGTGACGTGGGGGAGAGATCCCCTCAAAGCTCAACATGTCTGAACTCTAAGGAGACTACAAGAGGCAGGGGGTGCTTGCTCTCCCACTCCTCCAAACCCTCTTGTGCCTGCTCACCCTTGCGCAGGGGATTCACGTGATACTGCGTGTACAACTTCTGTGCTCGTAGCTCTTTGAGGAATAGTTCTCGCAAGATCTGATTCTGATGAACTTCATCCTGAATCACCTTCTGTCCCGCGTGTCCTGCCATGGCCTTGCCCTTGCTCTGAGAGGTCAGGCTATTTGACCTTCCCTTGCCTGGAGAAAGGTCGCCTTCTACTGTCTCCTAGCAACAGTGTTCCCCTTGTGTTCAGGCAACAGCGTCCTTTCTGTCTCTAGGCAACAGCGCCCAGATTCCATAGCACCACCCTCCCTGGCAGTCTTTCTCTGGCTTCTGTCCACTCCACCCCTCCCAGTTCTCAGGCCCCTTGGTGTCTCATTAATCCTCAACCAGTGTCCTCAGACCCGGACCCAGCATCTGGATCTAGAGCGGCCCGGGTGCACTGCTAGGAAAGGGCTGCTGTCCCTTCCCCCACCCAGCAAGAAAAGACTGAAGAGTGGACCTCAGCATGGCTGATCATTTCCTAAAGACGGTTTGAGGAGGAGACAGAAATTTATAGGTTTGAAAGTAGGTGCCCAGAATTGAGAGGGGGAGGGAGAGAGAGAGAGAGAGAGAGAGAGAGAGAGAGAGGGAGAGAGAGAGAGAGAGAGAGAGAGAGAGAGAGAGAGAGAGAGAGAGAGAGAGAGAGAGAGAGAGAGAACAAAACACCTCTGGCACACAGGAACACATGAGGGGGCGGGGCAGAGACAGAGACAGAAAGAGTTAAATATTGCTGCTACCGTGAGAACCAGCCTCCAGCAACTCAGGGCTTGAGACGGGGCCTGCGAAGTTGGCTGACCTTTGACTTTTCTATCTGAGGGAGTAACACTTAATCCTCTGGGGCCAGCGAGGGGTTGCTAAACTTAACTCTCTGGGGCAGGAGAGAGAGAGGAAAAGAACACACACATACACTCCTAGGGTCTTTCTATCATCTTCTGTCTCCGTACTGTCTTTATTTTTCCTTTACAGCTTACATATCCCAACAAAATCTTTCAAGCAATGTAAAAACTACAATGTGGTTACATTCTATTTTTCAAGTGAATGATTACAACGAAAACAAATAAAAAACAGCATGTTTTCTATATCCCTTACATGATTAAACATTTTACATATTACAGATGGGAAACAAGTTGTCTCAAGAACCCACACAAATTCATATCCAAGCAACTTGTTAGAGATTAACAGAGTGTAAGCAAGCAAGGCATTTTTCTCAGTCAGTTCTTTTGCTGGCAGGCTGCATTTTGCAGTTACAAAGAAAGGATCAGTCACTTTATTACTTATCTTAAAAGTGAATCTTATAAGAAATCTTAAAAGAATCACAAACCTAAACTTTTATATATGAAGAAGAAATAGCTCTGTTTTAAGTCCTCAGGGTGCATAATACACAGTCATCAACAGTTTTCTGTATCAGGAAGCCAAGGGCAGAAATGGGTACAAGGAATTAATCATCACCTTTGGTCATCAACCAATCCTAGCAAGAAAGGCATGGCAACTAATAATAATTAGGCTGCTTTGTTCTTGTCCCCCAACTTTAATGAGTTCCTCACTCAGCTATGTGCCTTTCTAAAACTTTAGATTATTTCCCAAGTTTTCACCTCAAGGCTATTGACAAAAACATCTTAGTCTAACCTTAAGTCATTTTCGAAGCTTTGTTTCTGCTATGATGCACTCTGAAACCTAGGAATGCATCTCCCAACATTAAAAGAATTTAAGCTAGTTGGGCTTCTGGGACTCAATTGTTTTTCTTAATCATAAATCTAAGCCATAGTTTGTATATATATGGCTCCTCAAGAGAAACTAACTGTGTGACCTTTCCTTGTTTTATTTTTTTATCCTCTGCAGCCTCTGCTTTATCAGAGGCAGGGGCAACATTTTATCCTATGTTAATTTTTCCACTAAACTAACCTCTAGCATAATCACTTACTATATTTATTAAAAACCCTCAACCATCAAAATTCTATTTAAACTGACCCTATTATTATATATAAAATCATTGTTTCAGTTAGACATTTTAGCTTAAGAGGAAATCATCTTCATAATAATCCACAGGTAAAAATGCCCAGCAGAATGGGATATTCCCAAGACTACATTAAGGGCTGTGGGGATCTTCCCACGCCCATTCACACCATGTCAGATACCAGAGAAAATGGCAATGGTAAACATGCAAAGACACAGCAGGAGCAAGAAACATCCAGGGGCCGAGGCTCTCGGGGCTTCGCCTATCCAAGAATCGCCCATCGGAACTTTGCTTTCTGGTGGGCCGGCTTCCTGAACCTCAACTGCCACCTGCTGGTCCTCTGACAGGACCACCTGCAATCAATCTTCTGATCAGTGCCCAGAGACAGACAGGACCACTGCCCTTTCTTTTTTTCTTTTTTTTTTTTTTTTTTTTTTTGGTTTTTCGAGACAGGGTTTCTCTGTGTAGCTTTGCGCCTTTCCTGGAACTCACTTGGTAGTCCAGGCTGGCCTCGAACTCACAGAGATCCGCCTGGCTCTGCCTCCCGAGTGCTGGGATTAAAGGCGTGCGCCACCACCGCCCGGCTGACCACTGCCCTTTCTAATCTAAGTAATTCCACATCTTTATGATTTGTTTTATTTATTATTCTTGCAATACTAGGGGTTGAACTCGGAGCTTCTGCATGTTGGGGAGCTTCTGCATGTTGGGGAGCTGCTCCACCACTGAGCTATACTCCAGCCTTTTCATTAAGCTAAGTTGCCCAGGTTGAACTTGCAATCCTCCTGCCTCAGCCTCCTGAGTGCTGAGATTATAGGCCTGCCCCACCAAACCCAACTACCTTCAATTTTTCATTGCAGTAAAATGCACGTCTTCTAAGACCTCCCATCTTAGCCGTTGTCAAGTGTGCAGTCCAGCTGCATGAAGCACGGGCACAGTGTGAGGCCCGGCTCCAGAATGCACCCTTTAGGCAACTGTCTTCTGACCCATCCCTTGGCAACCGCCATCTTTCTATTCCTATGTTCAACCCTGAAACACCTTCTATAACATAGTTTATGTTTAAATAACCAGAAGTAGCCTGCAGTAGGGAGAGAAGCCATCCCTGGCTCTAGTGAGCAGCTAAACACAGATGCTAAAGCTTGTACTCGTTCATTCATTCACTCATTCCTACATCATGACCCGGGATAGTTGATGTGTGACACTATTTCAAGAGTTTGTGGCCATTGCTTCCCATCCCCAAATCCCCACATCTACCAGTGACTTCATAATCAGCTGCTTTTTCTCCTTGGCCTGTAGGGTTCTTTGCCTCTTGTCTGCAGAAACTTTCTACCCAGTGTTTCTATGAGTTCACATGCAATCGCCTTTCAAAAGCCTTACCACGCTGTAGAGTCCCTGTCTGTTGATGCTCTATGGCAAACTTAGTTACTTCCCTAAATGTACTTGTGTCTCTCCGCATTTCCAGGCCACGCGGTAGAGGTAGGAATGTGTTTTGTGTTTGCTGGCTGACTGGGTGTCTGTAGTTTTGTTTGCTTACATTATTATATAATCCCTTAAAACATTCAGATAGACTGTTTCACACTGAGTTAATAATACGTTTATGACTTATCAATGTGACCATGCCTGGCCCTCTGTGTTTCAAACAAGGTTCAAATTGCCTCTTGGAATCTTCACTGCCTTCTGGAGGGTAAGAAGGAATAAGCTGAGCCTTCAAAGTCACATGGTTGGTTTGAGGATAATTTACAAGATTGCACCTGTGCTCTGTCAATAACACGTCCACTCAGCTTGAATTATTAGCCTCGTATCTGGGACCCTTCATGCAGGGCTGGTGCTAGGGTTGCCTAGAAGGTCAGAAAGAAATTCTAGACTAAGAAGAAATGGCAATTAAGGGCACAATGAGATGTTTAGGGTGTGGAGGCTGAAGATGGACACTTAGCCAAAAGTTAAAGAGGAAGTGAATATTTAAAATTCTTCAACATGGGACAAAATCAGAGGAAGGTCCAAATGACTGAAAGAGTAAAACAGTTTGACATTGAAAGAGAAGGAACAGTTAAAGGGATTTAAAAAAATGTGTTGCTTGTGGGATATCCAGGAAAAATGAAGCATAAAAAAATAAACATTGAAAATCCAACTTAGCGGCCATTGCACCAGCTGATGAAAAAGACCTGAGATTCCTGTCTCCTGTAACGAGCATAGCTCAGAAAACATGATTCTACAACTATATCAGGTGGGAGATTTGGTTGATTCACTTTTTATTTCTTATATGTATGAGTGCTTTGCCTGCATGTATGTAGTGCATCACATGATGCTTTGCCCACAGAGGTCAGAAGAGAAGGTTGGATTCCCTTGAACTGGAATTGCCGATGATTATGAGCTACCTTGTGGGTGCTGGGAACTCAACACAGGTCCTTTGTAACAGCAGCAAGTGTTCATAATGGCTAGGCCATCTCTCCAGCCCCTGCTTTGGTTTTTTTGAGCTAGGGTCTCATGGGGACACTGGCTTTGAACTCACCACACAGCTGAGGTTGAATTTGAAGTCCTGATCCTCCTGCCTCCACCTTCCCAGTTGATACAAGCCTGAGCCACCATATCTGGCTTAGAAAAAAACAAGACTCATGGGAGGTTTCTGGAGAAATGTCATTTGTATGCCCTGTTGCAGGAGCCATAAGCTGCTGAAGTTAAAGGTCACTGGGAGGGAGTGAAGCTTATCTTCAGGGACTGGAGATGCTCCTATAGGGCCTACAACAGCCTTGATCAGCAATGCCAAGTGGCACAGGAAGGGAAAGGGGATTGGGAGGATGAACTGTCTGGCTCCAGCCACAGCCATCAGACCCTAAGAGCCACACACTGCAGTCTTGTAGGACTCAGGACTTTCTTCCACAATAAAGTTTCTGCAGAGCAAACTTCATGTCTTTGTTCCTCAGACAATAGACAACTGGATTCAAAGAAGGAGTGAGGACAGAGTAGCAAATAGATGCCAGGCGCCCCTGGATCGGGGAGTACCGAGAGGCAGGCCTCAGGTACATGAAGCTTCCAGTTCCATAGAACAAGAGGACTGTGGTCAGATGAGAGGAACAGGTAGAAAAGGCCTTCCACCTGCCATCCACTGAGGGGATGCGGACAACTGTGGACACGATGCCCACATAGGAGAGGACCGTGAGGGCGAAGGAGCTCATGACAATGCAGTTGCTGACAGCAAAGCCCACCTCCTCATGG